GCCTACCCGAAGGAAAAGAGTATGTGCAGGACGTTTTGAAGATGATGTGTTGCTACTATCCAGCATGTTGGCTGTCTGACCCTCATTACGTCAGAGGTTCATTCAGGGATTGTGCAGTTTTACATCGAGCCTGAGACCAAGGCCCTGGACTGCGGGACGGCTGCCGTGTCGCGCCTGGAGGTTGATTTACACGCGTCATGCGCGGGTGCGCGCGCTTTGAGGCGTATGCACTCACGTGGGACTCCAAGCATTACGACATGACATTCCCTAGCATTCACTGGCACTTTATCAGCACGTACATTCGGTCAGCTACGGGGCGAACTCAGGGGGCGCCTTCACAGATGGGACGCTTATGCTTTAACTATGGAGGACTGGATGATATTGTATCGACATGGTGCTTTTCTTTCGGCGTGGTTGCTCACATCGTATCCTCAAAAGACTATGGGTATCAACATTCCCTCCAGGACCCCGTCTTGACCTGATCAATGCCTGCCTGGCCCCAGTAATCCATGCCAGCACGACGGCGGCCACGCCCAATCGACGGCATCGCCAAGGAGGCGGCTTGCGTGACCTGCTGGGGCAGATGAACGGATTCGTGGATCAGGTCACGGCGCTGGGGGCCGTGCATAACCCGAGCGCGACGTTGGCCCGACGACAGCAGCAGCAACATCGCAACCAACAGGCCGGTGCTCCAGGACCCTCGCCGTCGGCTCCTGCCCCACCTGCTCGGGAGATGGCCGAGGCGGCGGTCTCCGCCCGCGAGGGCCGCGAGAGGGGCCAGCAACGAAGTCGCCCCGGCGGCGACAGCAGGCTCCGCGCGACGCTCGATCGCCTCTCCACCCTTGTCGGCGGCTCTCCCAACGGCGCGGGCTCCCAGGGCAACCTCGAGCAAGCCATCGAGCGGAGCAGCGCCTGAAAGCGGACCTCCAGGGCGCCCCCCAGAGAGTCGAGGCCCACGCGCGCCAGCTGAGCGAGCTCCAGCGTACCACCGAAGGCACGGCCGACGACGCGAAGGCCATCCGCGCCCTCCTCGGGGGCCGCAAGGAACTCACCTCGTGGGAGCGCTCGCCGAAAGGCGGGGGCCGAGGCCGAGGCCGCGGAGGCTCCGCAGGCAGCGAGGCCCCATCAAGAATGAGAGCGACGGCCAGCCGATGGCCAACACGCTCATCGACTATGAGACACACGCGGGCTGGATTGGGGTCATCGGAGTCGGCGCCAACCGCGCAGACATGCAGGTGCTCGGCACGGGACTAGGATCGCCCACAGCGAGTGGAGGGGCCACATTTAGCCTTGCAAGAGCCTCGCCCAGCGGAAGACCAAGCTCGCTTCGATTGGGGTCCCCTCCGAGGCCATCGAGACGATAGCCGCTTTCATGGGCGTTGGCGAGCTGAACTACGGACACAACGCGACGATGGCACGTGGAAAGAAAATGCCATGCAGACGATCAAGCCTACATGAAAGCTCGCATGTATCACGACTTGGACGACTACGGAACCTTGGGCCCAGATTACGATGTCGACGGGCTATCTGCATGTGTTGTCCCTGTGCTTGGTTTGCAAATCAGGCTGGGCTGCTCGTTGAGCAGATGCGTATGGTGGCAACTTTGCTTGCGAACACTGCGTCGCCACGCTCGTGTCCTCCGTGTCTCTTGCCCTGGGTGGATGGCTTGCTACGGCCGTGCTCGGGCGCCGTCGCACCACGCTTTAGGCCGGCATCGAGGCAGCAGCGCCGATGGCAGCAGCAGCAACATTTACATGTTCCTGTGTACCTTCAACGCCGTTTCCCACCTCGACGCATGCAAGTCTCGCGTGGGGTACGCGATTGGCTACGATTTCGTTGTGGTCAGGAGCTGCGTGCACATTCTCCGTCTAAGATGTTGGCCAGTATCAGACCAGCAGCTCTGGTTGCTTCGTTGACGTACCACCATGGCACGATTCGGGGTACACGCTCACATTCTGACCACGCATGTTCGTCCTATGACGGAGCGCGCGAAGCCTTCTTGCGACCAATATTTGCAAGCCTGCTGCATGAGGCCTGGGCCCTCAGGGCCTGAGCCGCCGCGAGGACCCCGCGGATCCCTCCAGGAGGCCTCCCAAGCGGGTCCGAGTCGGCCCCCGACTTGAAACTCCAGGTCTTCTGTTTGACGTGCAATGCTTGGGACGGTCCGTGCGCGTGCACGTGTTTTCTCACTGCTTGTTTAAGTCTCTGCTTCTCTCGCTTCAACACCGCTTGCGAGACGAGCGCGCCAGCGCCTGCGCCAGTCCCGTCGCCAACGCCGGCCAGCTGCCACCTCTCTTTTGCCACACATCTGTCTATATATATATATATATATGTGTTCTCATCCATGTGATTGTACTAGACTTCAGCCATCTTCCACGTCAAGCTGCCAGCCCCCCAGAAGGGCGGAGCCGCGGCCGCAGCAGAGGAGAGTTCACAGCAGTCTAGCTCCATCCCCGCTGGCAGCGATGCTTCCTTCTCGAGTGGGAAAATTTGCTTGATTATGAATCACATGGGGCTCGCGGGACACTCGATCATTTACGGGTTCATGATAATCACGAGTCTAGAAGTGTGCGCTTCAAAATGTGTGGGCGTGTGTGTGTGTGTGTGTGTGTGTGTGTGTGTGTGTGTGTGTGTGTGTGTGTGTGTGTGTGTGTGTGTGTGTGTGTGTGTGTGTGTGTGTGTGTGTGCGTGCGTGCGTGCGTGCGTGCGTGCGTGCGTGCGTGCGTGCGTGCGTGCGTGCGTGCGTGCGTGCGTGCGTGTGCGTGTGCGTGTGCGTGCGCATATCGTTTTCACTGCCTGCTTTCACCCTGCATTCGTCTTGTCTAGAAGGTCGTCTACGCTCAACTTTACTCGAGGTTTCGGACTCTGTCCACGCTCCCCCACAATGTGATCAAATTCACTTGAGCGCAGTCCTTTTTTGTACTCTTGCACTCGCTAAATGCATCCATCAACGCGTTGGAAACTAGAGCGTGTTTTCGTCGCGCCAGCGTGCTGTCCACCGAAGCGGGTGCAGCATCACGTCAGGATTCGGTCTTCGCTCGCTCGAAGTATGAGGGAGCTTGCCCGACCAGATCTCCCCAGTGCGGCGGCAACGGGCCCGTCGTGGACAAATGCACAAAAACGATATGTCGCCGCACGGACAGCTTAAGAAAGAAATCGACTGAGTGGGGCGACGTGCGATGGGCGCGCCGTGGACAGCTCACTTCGAGCATGCGTGACGCGCAAAATTGTTGGTGCGACGGCGACGGGGCGTGGCCACCCAGATGGACAGCACAGATCACGCAGGTGGGCGAACGATGCGACAGCGACCGGCGGGGCCGCGACAGATGGACCGTCTCCGAAACTCAGCTCTCCGTGCGGTGCGACGGCGACGGGGGGGGGCCCGGCGGATGGCCAGCTCAGAGCTGCACACGATGGCTGGGCCAACGGTGCGACAGCGACCGGCGGGGTCGCGACAGATACAGAGCTTTTTCCCCACACCCCCCGCGCGGCGCGACGGCGACAGAGGTTGCTCTGACAGATGGACCCAGCCTGCGGTGTACCTACTGGAAGTGCGGCAGCCAGCGGCGGTCTCCAGACAGATCAGCGTGATCACGGCCCCCCAAAGTTTCAGAATGCACCAGAGAAGACACCGCGGCCATCACGGCCACCAAGGCCACCAAGACCAGGTGACGCGTGTCACCCCAAAAAGCGTGTGAGAAGAACTAATTGTTCCGTTCGTATTCTGGGAACCAACATGGAGCCATACAGTGTGAAACAACACAGGGGTGCACGCGTCATCCCGAAAACTGCGTGAGAAAAAAGTAACTGTTTCACTCGCATTCTGGACGTGTGAAACACCACAAAGGTGACACCTACCACCCCGAAGACCATGTCAGAAAAACAATTGTTCCACTCATATTCTAGACGCCAACATGGGGCCATACAACCACACAAAGGTAACACGTATGTCATCCTGAAGACCTTGTAAGAAAACCAATTGTTCATTCGCACTCTGGACGCCAACATGGGGCCATACAATGTGAAACAAAACAGGGGTGGCACGTGTCGGTGTCACCCCGGAACAGTGTGAGAAAAACCAATTGTTCCAATGATGGGGCGCTGGGTACAGTTCAACCCTTTCGATTATAGTACTTATTCTCGGGTCTTTGGGAGCAATTCACCCCAGCCTTACCCAAAGTAATCTCAAACTGTTCTGAAACAAGACCATCTGCAGTCTTGTTGTTCTGGGGCTGGCCTGGGGCTTGAAATTACAAGGTCGCCTTGCATCTGCCGACGAAGAATGGGCGTCGGTCTGGGCGAGTCTGGTTGGCACGAAAGGCTCGGCATCCTCAAACTCCTCCATCCTGGTCCCTGGGAGGCTGGGGACAGGCAGGCGCCACCGCGAAGCCCGCCCCCACGGTGGCCGACTCCACGTTACCCCTGCTGCTGCTCGCCGGCACCGAGTGGCGCCCACACGCCCGGGGCCAGGCCTGGACGCTCGGCCGTCCGCCAGCCGAGCCTGGGCCCCGCCGCCGCGACGGCCACAGCTCCACGGGCGGAGGCCCCCGCGACAGCCCCCCCGCGGGAGCCGCCGCGCGCCGCGCCGCGCTGCGTCGCAGCCGCGCGGCGCCCCGAGGCCGGCGGCAAGCGGCCGGGGCAGCGCAGCCGCGGGGCGCGCCGCCGCCTCCCCCATCGCGCCGGGAGCCCAGCGCGCCGCCGTCGAGCCCCCTGCGCAGGGCGGCCTCGCAGGCCCGCCGCCCGTGGGCACGAGCCACGCAGCGCGGCGCGGTCGACCCGAGGCGCGGCGCCTCCGAACTGGGCCGCCACGTCGAAGGGCCGCCCACCGTCGCCACTTCTCGAGCCCGCCCGCGCGCACCCGAGGCTCTGGCTCGAGCCAAAACTGGCTACGGACGACAGGCTTCTGAGACATCATCCTGACGCTCCTCATTCCCTCTGCCTTCCCATCCCCTCCCCTGACCCGAGCGCCAGCGCGCGGCACGGGAGCGAGGCGGACCGTCCTCCAGCACGACTCGCTCTTGCCTACGGACGTAGGCGTGAGCGGGCTTCTCAAGTTGCCCGAATCCTGTCGGGCGCGGGGGGGGTCTATGGGGAGCGTCTTTTCTACATTTCGCGATAGCGACCGGTACTGGCCCGCCCACTCCCCCCCTCTCCACCCGTCTCCCTTCCCGATGTAGCGACACGATTCGTGCTGATTTTTAGGGTCTATGGATATTCCTACATATTCCCAGACGGCGCAGGCGCGAAACGTTACGTTACTGGCCCCCGCCCCCCTCCCCCCCTCCCCCCCCAGTAAGGCCCACTATCGCCTGGGAATAATGATAGCCAGAGTCCAGTATCCACAAGCAGCATTTTTGAGCCAAGGTGGCTCTTCAGAGTGTTCGCGCGTCCTCCTGTTCCTGATCCGCCTGCGCCTTCGGCGTCGTCGTCGAGCGTTTCGTCATCGTCGTCGTCGTCCTCCTCCTCCTCCTCCGCCGCATCCACGTTATTCTACTTGTCGCCCTCGCCCTCCCCCCTTCCACTACACCTCCTCCTCATCATCCCCCTCCTCTCTTCCTCCCGCTCCAATGGAGCCAATGGGCTGGACCAAGTCGCGTGCAGAGCTCAAAGATACAAGATACAAGAATATCTCAGGCGAAATGGGCCAGACCACCACGCGCTCGGAGCTTAGACTTGCGAGGATGTCCCAGGCAGCGCCCAGGCTCCTCCTGGAGCACAACTCGACAACAGATGTGTAACCAACTGGTTCGTTTGGGTCCCAACCCTCCTCCTTCCTCGATCTGGGAGCTCAGAACTGCGAAGATGTTCAAGTGGAACGGGCCGAACCATCCCGCGTGCGGCATTTCGGAGCTCAGAGTTGCGAGGATGTCTCATGCGACACGGGCCAGACGACTGGCGCGGCATCTCGCAGCCCAGAGTTGCGCAGATATCCCAGAGGAAACGACCCGAACCACCTCGCGCGCGGCATCTCGAAGCTCAGAATTGCAAGGATATTTCAAGCGAAACGTGCCAAACCTCCTATGACCTCCTCTGGCGCGGCATCTCAAAGCCCCGAGATATGAGGATGTCTAAAGCGAAACGGGCCGGACCACCTCGCATCCAGCATCTCAGAACATCTCAGAACTCAGAGTGTCGAGGATATCTCGAGCGAAACTGGCCGGACCACCCCTCGCGCGGCATCTCAAAGCCTAGAAATACGAGGATGTCTCAGGCGAAACGGGCCAGACCACCTCGCGCAGCATCTCGGAGCTGAGAGTTTCGAGAATCTCTCAGGCGCGCGGCGTCTCGGAGCCCAAAATTGCAAGGATGTCTCAAGCGAAACTGGCCGAATCCACCTCGCGGGCGGCATCTCGGGCATCTCGGAACTCAGAGTTGCGAGAAAGTCTCCGGGGAAACGGGCTTGACAACCTCGCGCGCGGCATCTCGGAATTCAGAGATGCGAGAATGTCTCAAGCGAAACGCGCCGAACCACCCCGCACGCGGCATCCCGGAACTCAGAATTGTGAGGATGTCTCAAGCGAAACGGGCCGGACCACCTCGCGCGCGGCATCCTCAAGCTCAGAGTTGCGAGGCTGTCTCAAGCGAAATGCGCCGTACCACCTCCTGCGCGGCATCCCGCAGCCCAGAGTTGCGAAGATGTCTCCGGCGAAACGCCTAATCCCAGCCAGCTCAGAATCGAGAGTTGTTGGGATGTCTCAGGCGAATCGGCCCAGACCGCCAGAATTTCCTGAGGATGTCTCTGCGCGCCTGCACTCGACTGGAACTAATTACGGCCGCAACAGCACCCCGTTCAGCAAACTGTTCGGGGGAAGAAAAACTCTCTACGGGCGCTGCCCGATGCCGCGGCGAGGCGTCAAGCGTCAAAAGCCAGTGTAGGGCATGCTGCAGGCCCTCGGAGGTCCGGGAGGACAGGATAGAGTTGAACTGAAGGCCTTCTGGGAGAGGCAAAAGGCAACGATGGGAAGAGCGTGAGGACGAGATCTTGGACCAAGGGGTACTGAGGTAACAGCGAGACCCTGGGCATCACCTTGCATCAATTCCAGCCGATCCCGGGCCACGCTTGCCCGTCAAGAGGACCCCTAATTGTCAACACAGAGATGGCATCGAGATGCCGTGGCCACTGGTATCGTTACCCAAGGCGGGCCAGGAGAACCCACGCCAATGTCTGTCCCGACCAGCCTGGCGTGTAGCAGTTCATCTCCTCCCTCCCCTCAGATACGAACCTCACAAGACAGCGCCCAGCCGAGACCACGTCTTTCGGGGACACACTCGCCTAAGGTGAGCGCAAACCCGGGTCAGCCAGGGCCACGTCGCGAACACGAGCGGGCCACCAAGTAGCTCACAAGCCCAGGGCAGCGGAGGGCGGGGGAGCGGGGTCGGCTCCAGGTGGCTCCCCAAATCCGGGTCAAGCAGAGGATCTCGGAGAGGTTCGGCTGAACCCCGTTAGCGCAGACCCCAACTACACACATAGGCCCCACGTCTTCTTTGTCTTGGCTGATCTGGCCATAGACGATAAGAAAACGGGGACCATGATCAAGACTGAACGCGGAAACGTCGTGCCGATCTTGGTCACCGTCGATCTTGGTCAGCGTCAATTCGTAGATCATCCTCGCGATTCGGCGACGGCTGACATGGACCACGACCAAGATCGGTATCGACAAATACCCGCGACGTCTTGGCCACGGCCCCCGTGTTTCCCACGACGCCCGCGTCCCTGCTCCCAACCACTGCGCCCAGTCAGGTACCTGCCCGCGCGCCCGCTGTGCCTGCTCCGCTCCCCTCCCCCCCTCACTCCCCCTCCTTTCCCTTCCCACCTTCGCCTCCTTCACACTTGAACATTAGGAATACTACTCTCCCTCCTCCTCTGGAATCCCACCAGCCATCTGGGCGTAGGTGGTTTAAGGAGTTTCCTCGTCCACCCTCCTCCCCTGGACCTGGACGGGGCGCCAGGTGTCAGACGGCCCTATTGGCGCCAAGATGGCGCCAAGAGGGCCTCCGAGAGCCCAAGATGACCTTCAACATGGCTGGAGATAGCCCACGATGCCTCAAGATGGCTCCCAAGATGATCCAAGCAACCCCAAGAACGCTCCAAGACGGCTCCAAGAGGCCTCCGAGGTTGCAAAGGAGACCCCCAAGAGGCCAACATCCTTCAAACACCTAAGGCAAACCAATGTGTTTTGCATTCACGCTCGTTCGCTTCCGATAGCCTTCGGAGGCCTCAAGACGGCTCCAAGATGGCCCAAGAGAGCCTCAAGACGGCCCCAAGAGCACCCAAGAGCCCTCCAAGAGCGCCCCAAGAGGCGAGTTTAGGCACTCTAGAGGGGCAGCCCTAATTAAGGAACCCCCCTTCTTTGATCGATGCCCTCCAATATGGCCCCAATAGGCGCCCAGGAGGCCCCAAGGGGCCCCAAGACGGCCCCAAGACGGCTCCAAGATGCCCCCCCAGGAGGCCCCCAAGAGGACCCCAAGCGGCCCCAAGAGGCCCCCCCGAGGCACCCAAGACGCCCAAGAGCCCCCCAGGACCGCCAAGAGACCCCCAAGACGTCCTAAGAGACCTCCAAGAAGCGCCCAAGAGATACCCCAAGAGGCTCCGAGAGGCATCCAAGAGACCTTTGGCCCTGCTTGACCTCCTCCTCCTGCTCCTCCTTCCTCCTCCTGCTCCTTCTCGTCGTCGTCTTCCTCCTCCTCATCATCATCATCATCAGCGTCAGCATCCTCGTCCTCATCCTCATCCTCATCATCATCATCAGCAGCATCATCATGGTCATCGTCATCGTCATCGTCATCGTCATCGTCAGCATCATCATCATCATCATCATCATCATCATCATCAGCAGCAGCAGCAGCAGCAGCATCAGCATCAGCGTCAGCATCATCATCATCATCATCATCATCATCATCATCATCATCATCATCATCATCATCATCATCATCATCATCATCATCATCATCATCGTCAGCCTCATCATCATCAGCAGCATCATCATCAGCATCAGCATCATCAGCATCATCAGCAGCACCAACATCAGCATCATCATATTGATCTTCATTCTCCCCACTCCCTCATCCATCCATCCAGCCTCCTCCTTCTCCTCCTCCATCCTTCGCACGGTTCGGCCGTCCACCTGTTTGCTCCCGCACTTGCCTGATCACCTCAACTCGCCTGGACATCGTTTATGGATGGACTGGTGGGGATACGCGAACCGTCTAGAAGATCACCCGCCCCCTTCGCTTGCTTTTTTGGCTTAGAAAAACAGCACATCGGATTCCAACACATGATTTGTATGTTTTTGTTCAAGGCGCTTGGGTGTTTCAGAATGGTGTTCCCGCTGCAGCGTTGGCCTCATTTTCGGATCGGCGCGTTGCTCCCGTCGTTCAGAATGGCGCTCTCGCCCCAGCGCAGGCAACTTTTTAGAATATGATGTTTTCTTCATCGTTGTCGCCACCCTCTATCCCCTCCTGCGCCTTTCCCTGGTCCTTCTGTACTCCAGTTCCTGTTGCTGCTGTTCGTCTCGCCCTAGCGCGAGCAACTTCTCAGAACCTGAGTTTTTTATCGTTCTCGCCCCCCATCAAGTCCCCTCCTCCACCTGCCCCTGGTCCTCCTTTTCCCCCCGATCCGTCGCCTCATCCCTTTTCCTCCTGCTCATCTTCCAGCTCACCCACTACCTCCTCCTCCTCCTCCTCCTCCTCCTCCTCCTCCTCCCTCCTGTGCCCGCAACTCCCCTCTTGCCGATTGCGCATACCTCGAAGCGGTCTCTCTGCGGGAGTCGCAGGTCGGCTATGACACGCGCCCGCGGATCTAGAAAAATCAGCACCACAAGAATAGATGGGAGTGAGGGATCGGATGTCAGACGAGGCGCGAGCGCACCTAGCTTGCCCCCCACCCCCCGCCCTTCCTCCCTCCCACCTCCGCCCCTCTCCCTCCCCCCTCCGCCACTCTCGATCCCCCTCCCAGAGAAAGAAATAACGGCATCAACTCACACTTTCCCTCCGCCCCTCACGCGCCATCCGTCCATGGAGGACGCGGCCAAGGGGGTCTGAAGCCAAACCCGTTCGAAAGCGGTCCGGGGACCCCTCCTGGGATCAACTTTCCACCCTGGATCAAGTTTTGACGGTCCCGGAGCCCCGAAACGGCTTCCGGAGGCCGAACAGGAGCAAAAAACCGTGTCGAACCCAGAGCCTCTAAACTGCCAGCCCTCCCTGCTGGTACCAGTACGCACTGGGCCACCTCAGACCCCCAGGCGGCTACAGATTGGCGCTGCGCTATACAATCGAGACATGGCCACCACAACGTGGGTCAAGAACAAGAGCCCCTTCTCCGAAGGGCCACGGCCACAATGTAGATACTCAACACGAAGAGCATTGCAAGGTGGAGAGGCCAAACACGAAGAACGTCAGGGTACCCCTCTGAAGCCATGGTGGTTCTTACACCTCGTGCCAGCTGTACGTCTCTGCCTGCGCGAAATCGGTGCCCAAGGCAAGTCCCTTGGCCACGGATCGGGCGCACCCGCTGGGGCACGCGGCGCTCGCCCCCCCCCAAAAAGTAGCAGAGAAGCTCAGAGGCAATGGCATCAGTAGGCGGCGAGGGAGGGGGGTAAGCTTCGGGTTCGAGGTTCAAGATTTTCGGGCCTTTCTGCAGCTTCTTGGCGGTTCTTCACCCTCGGAATGCGTTCCAGCGGCTGCCAAGTCGAATCGGATCGGAATCGGAAGCCATCGACATCGAACCGATGAAATCGAAGCTAGCTCTGGCAGAAAAACGCCCTCCTCCCTCGAGTGACTTCGGGACGGGCCCCAGGCGCCGGCCACGCGGCCGGGCCGCCGCCCCCGCCCCCAGGAGGTCCGGCGCGTGCGGCACGGAGTTGACGGCAAACATCCAGAAGCCAGGCCCCGCCGGCGCGCTCCCTGCCTGCGCTCCGCGCGGCTTCGGGGGGAGGGGCGTCTTGGTCGTCGTCCTCGACGAGAGCGACGTCGTCCTCGAGGAAGACGACATCGGTGTCGCCTTGGACAGGGAAGGAGGGGGCGAACGACGACGACGGCGACGGCGACGGCGGTTTTGAGGGAATGGGGGGGGGGGCTTAGCGGCGCGGTGGGTCCTCACGGTTCCTTCCAGTGCCGCTGTTCTGGCTCCTCGTGCTGCTGCTGCTGCTGCTCCTCCTGCTGCTGCTGCTGCTGCTCATCCCTTTCCCTTAAATATCGGTTCTCGTCGTTTGACTACCAGACGTGTCGGTAAGGCGGGCGGGGCATTTCGCTAGACACCTCATCACGATCGGCCATCCTGAAGCGAAGCTTGAAATTTGCAACGGTTGAAAAGATTGAGGGCGCGTCGTTTTCGAGCTGGGGCTCTCACATTAACGTCACGCGCATTAGCGTTGCCAAGATTGATACTCCCTGAAACAATACAGCCATCGTGCTACCATAGAAGGAAGGAAGGAACGCGCCGAGTCCGCCGGCTGGTCGGCCACCAAGCCCCTTGGGGGCAGCGCGGGTGGGCCGGGGCCCGCTTATTGCACTTGCTGGACGAAAGCGCATGTCCCATGCGGAGTCGGAGTCGGAGCCGGAATCGGAGAGATGGGAAGGGACCAAGAGTCGGAAAGAAAATAAGAGCCAGAATCGGAACCTGCAAAAAACCTTCAACCATTCCGCCAACATAAATAATCAGGATCGTGAGCCAGAGACGAAACAATGGGATCTGAAATCGGAGCCGGGGTCGGGGAGGCGGGATGGGAGCTGGAGTCGGAAAGACGGAAGCTGGACTTGGAGCCGGAGTCGGAGAGACAGGAGCTGCAATCGGAGCCGGAGTCGGAGAGATGGGACGGGCGCCGGAGTCGGAAAACAAGGAGCTGGAATCGGACCTGGAGTCGGAGAAATGGGCGCCAAAATTGGAAACGGAGTCGTAAAAATGGACGGGAGCTGGAGTCGTAAAAATGGGAGCCGGAGCCAAGGCTGGAGTCGGAGAGATGGGAGCCAGAGTCGGAACCATCAGAAGATTTTCAACCATTCCTGCCAACATAAACAATCAAGATCGTGAACGGGAGCCGGAAGACCTTCAACCATTCCTGTCAACATAAATAATCAGGATCGTGAACCAGAGTTTGAAAAACGGGAATTGGAATCGGGGCCGGGGTCGGGGAGACAGGATGGGAGCTGGAGTCGGAGAAACGGCAGCCGGAGTCGGAGAGATGCGAGCTGCGCTCGGAACCGTAGTCGGAGAGATGGGACGGGCGCTGGAGTCGAAAAGCTGGGAGCTGGAATCGGAGCTGGAACCGGAAAGGTGGGCGCCGAAACAGTACCGGAGAGATGTGGCGGGAGTTGGAGACGAAACCAGTGTCGGAGACAGGAGAGCCCCTGGGTTCAAATCAGACGTTGTTGTTGGAGCCTCTTTGGGGAAAGGAGAGGTATTATTCCATGTAGTTGAGAAAACTGTCCTCCAAACCGTTCCACAATTGTGCATGCAATGCCATATCTACCCATTGGATGTCGCAGTGGTATTCTGTAACACTCTCAAGAAACGACACTGTATCATTGCCCCAAGTCTTTCGCTGACCGCCGCGTCGTCGTTCTGCTCGTCGTGCGTCGTGCGCGCTCGGGTCCCAAGAGGTACAACGCTGTCGGCGCTGTGGCCTGCAACCCGGGCTGCGTAGTTCCACTTCCTTTTGAAATATATGTGCGTCCAGTCTTTCACGTGCATGGGCTCCGCGATAATTATGGCATCATAGGTGCTCCTGCGTACGGGATGAAGGGGCTTTTCTGGCCACGACGAGCCTCGGTTTCGAATAGGTTTCCCGACCTAGATCTAAGGAACGGCCCGAAAACCCGAACCCCTCCTGAGCCCGAGGTGGTCCTCCTTCCAGCGTCTTGACTGCACTACAAGTGCGAAATTGTGCAACATCTCCACGGATGGATGGCGGCACCTTTCCGTAAGCTGGGTTTTCCCCTAGTGCTTCCTCGGCCTTCCCGGCCAGAGGCATGCGAATATGCAACAGCTGCTCGGATGGAGAGCGGCTGAGACACCCTTGAACTGAACAGCTGAAACTGAGACTTTGCCCAGCAAGTACACGGATAGGTGGGTCCTTGTCAAAACGGGCCAATCGCTGGACACCTCGTTGAGATTAAGTGCTTTTCCCAACCATCCGGTGGTGCTGGGTCCACGTTTTGAATCAGCAGCGCCCCGCGTCTCCTCCTCTCCTCCTCCTCCTCCTCCTCCTCCTCCTCCTCCTCCTCCTCCTCCTCCTCCTCCCATACTTGCCTGCGTCCTCTGCATGTCTTTTTCGCCTCACCCCACACGAGACTCGTGGCCCCATAGGGAGCTCCACCGAAGGCTCATGTGGCAGGGTTCGCATGCGTCCCCCCCGCCCACTTCCGCGCACCCCTCACACGTTTCGTGGCCACACAAGGAGCGCCACCCGAAAGCTCGTGTGGCAGAGTTCGCATGCGTCCCCCCCCGGCAGCACACACACACACACACACACACCTCACAAGTTTCGTGCATGCGTCCCGCCGCCCAGTTCGGCACACCCCTCACACGTCTCGTGGCCCCACAGGGAGATCCATCGAATGCCTTTTGTGGCAAGGATCGCATGCGCCCCCCCGCCCATTTCGGCTTCGTGGCCAAACGGGGAGCTCCCTCTTCCTTCGTCCCACCCGCTTTGCGGTACCCACGCTTGCAAATCACCCGGGCGACTCCAACATGGGACCCCTGGGTGGCCGCCCGGAAGGACAGCACTCCTGGGGCGCGCAGAGGAACCCAGGGGGTCCAGCTTCCGCGGCGGAAGAGAGACATCGTTGGCGAAGGGTTCGGGCACGGGGGCTACCTCTGCCCAACATTCCGCAAGAGGAATGAAGTCTCGGCCTCGGGGGTGCTGGCGCGCGGCCCCCACCCCACCCCAGCGCTACCAGAGGAAGAAACATGCGAGAGCCCAGATTGTAAATGTAGTGCAGCATTATACTAGGGGGTTGTACTAGCATTACTAGCATTGGACTGGGGACTTGTACTGTTAGTACTTGCACGCTACCGTGTGTCCTATTTCTGGAATCGACATTATATACTGTCTAACCGTACTCCCGTACTCCCACGTCGCGATCCTATGATGTTTCCTTATTAGTAAGTCACGAGTCTATACTGTTTTCTCAAATTCCTCAATCGCAATTCGATAAGACTAGTTGTACTGCAGGACCAAGTGCACTCGAGAGGCAGCTGCGCGCTAGAACATGATGGTACCAGTTGCACTCAAGTGCTAGCTACACTCTAGCCAGAGGGGTTCAAATGTTCCTGTGGCAATACGCTCGCGAAACACAAAAACATGCGCCGCCAAGGGTCCCAGGTTCATCGGGTCGCCGCGAAAGTGGACCCCCCGCGGAAGGAAGGAAAGAAATCCTGCCAAGGGGGTTGGAGAGTTCACGCATGAATCGCGGGGGCGATACTTGCAGATGTCTGGGTCCATCGCCACGGTCATGTCTTGTCGCCTCCCCTCTAGCTTGCTATACGGGTGCAGGGTAGTTCCTTTGCAAAGCGGCGCTCTCGCCTGAATGGCGGGCCCACAGGGTGGATCGTCGGGGGCGCTTCATTAAGTGTAAAAGAACGCTCGTATGGGCCTATGAGGAATGAACTTGGGACGGGAGGGCGCGCTGCATCGCGGCAGGGTTGATCCATCTTGGTTTACGCTGGTTCTCCTCCTCCTACTCCTCCTCATCCCTCTCAGTGTCCGCTCCCCCATCCTCATCATACTTCCCTTCCTCCTCCTCCTCCTCCTCCTACTCCTCCTCCTCTCCTCCTCCTCCTCCTCCTCCTCGTTATAAACCTCTTCCTTTGATTCGTACTCAAAATTCCTCATTCGGAAGAACTGCGTCACCACACCTGTGCCACCAGCTGGCGGGGCAAATTCACAGTGGCCCAGCATGCGTCCTGGCTCACACGACTCGCGCAAGATGGCTGGGCCCACTGGGCAACCGTGGGCCATCAAGCTAGGGCTTGGCTATACAGGATCGTCAGCTGGCAAGGTCAGAACAAGGCAGAAAGGCAGGCCTTGACGGTTTGCCATTCGGCTTGCTGGCAAGTGGCCTAATGACCAGAGCTCGACCGCAGTACCTACCAGTGATGGATCCCGAATGCGCTTTACCAGGAGAGCCCAGAATCGAATCGATGTCGGATCGGCGTTCGAAATGAATCGGATCGGCGGATATCGGCAGCCAAGTCGAGAGAAATCGAATCGGCGGAGATCGGCAGGCTAGTAGGCCTCCATTGAGAATCGGAAGCCGAAATAGAATCGAATCGAAATCGGAAGCCATCGGAATGGAATCGAATCGAATCGGAAGAATCGAAACGAACCCTGCGTTACAGGCGGCCCGGGCTGCCCAGGCCGGCCAATTGCCGTGCGCCAGGACCTCCCACGTCTGCTGGCGCGCTCACGGGCAGTCATCGGGTCGGCTGCCTGTGTTGGAGGAACCAACCTCAACACAGACTTTCGGAGCCCCGCGCGGACCCCGTTTTGACGCTCGGCCGCGGGGCGAGCCCCTGTGGCGCCCTCGTGCAGCATGGGGCTGTGGAGTCATCGTGCCACCACGAAGAACGCATAATGAGAAAGAAACGGGCCCCCGAGAGGCCCCCAAGCGGCCCTGGGAGGCTCCCCAAATGCCCCCCCGAGCACGCAAGCAGGTACCAACGACCCGACGCGTTTAAGAGTCCCCGAGAGGCCACCAAGAGGCCTCCCGAACGAGTCCCCATAGGCGAAACGCTTCCAGACGGCCCGCGACGCGTTCAAGACTCCCCCAGCGGCCACCAAGAAGCCTCCCATGCCGAACGCACAGCCTGATAAAAAAAACAGCCGCCGCCCCTGCAGCTCCGCACCGCGAAAGACCACTCGGTCAGTCGACAACGGCGCGCAGTATGGGCCGGCGGAATGAGCGGAGCGATTCGATAAGGAAGAAGAGGGCTCCTCTGGCCACGGCGAGCCCCGGCCACGAACAGGTTCCCCACGAGGAGCGGCCCGAAGTCCGGCGCCCCTCCCGAGCCCAAAGTGGTCGGTAGCTCAGCGTCTGGACTTTCAGGTGAGAGGAAGAGGCGGGC